GACATCATAGGAAGGAGTCAACCCCGTCCCATCCTGGGCTCTCTCACAGCATAGATAGAAAGGGCGTTCACGGTAACTTTTACCAACGCCCATTCTAAAATAAAGAGTAATTTCTCAATGCTTTACAACTGCAGGATTGTTGAAAAGTTCATAAAACCTGGAGAGTGATACAGCAAAAGATTAAATACTGCAATATTTAGTTTCATGAATTTTTGGAACATGCAACATTATGCAGTACAGGTAGTCCTTGACTTATGACCGCAACATTTTCTGTTGCTAAGCAAGACAGTTTAGTGAGTTATTCCTCAATTTTGTGGTCTTTTTTGCCACAGTTATTAATCATAGAAGCGAATCATGTGGTTGTTAAGTGGATCTGGCCTTTGACTTTGCTTGTTGGAAGTTGGCTGGGAAGGCTACCAATGGCAATCACAAGTCCTTGGGACAATGCAGCTGTCATAAATAAATGCCAGTTGATAATGTAACTGGAGATGCTGCAATGGTCACAAGTATGAAAACTGGTCATAAGTCACTTTTTTCAGTGCCATTGTAACTTTGGACTTTCCACTAAATGAACGTCTATAAGTCAAGGCTATATTACATTATGATATTTGAAAAAGTGATTAGTCCCTGGTCCTTTTCAAAACAACCACAAAGTGGAGTGGAATAAATGTTAAAAATGATAGAAAAAAGCTTTAATTGAGTGGACTAGGGCAGAGGTAATGAAGGTTGACTATTAGATTGCATTTGTGTTACCAAGCATGATTTATTGACCATATTAAATGTTTCTCTTTGAAGCTCCGTTGCTCATGTAATGTGCCTGTAGTATTTCAACAACACATGTCATTAAAAGCTTTGTTATGGAAGGACAAAATACACTTTTCTTTTCCAACCGTACTGAATGCAATAAACTCCTTCCTATTATACTGTTTGCTCAAGAACACTTATGCAGAACTTGGATGTACTCTGGATGTTTGGACTTCAATTCTCAGAGTTCACAGCAGGTGGCCTTGCTTTCTGAGGAGTTGAACTGTATTTAGGTAGGAAAGGCTGCTCAAAAACATTGCTCTTTTCTTGTTAAGAATAAAAAAAAGTATGTTAGATCTTTTATCAATACTTTTTCTAATTATTTTCAAGTTTCTCTTAGTGTCCTTGATCAGGAAAATGAAATAAATGATCCAGTTCGCTTCTGCAGGTAGTCTTTAACTTACAACAGGTCATTTAGTGACCGTTCAAAGTTACGATGGCAGTGAAAACAGTGACTTATAACCATTTTTCAGACGTGCAACCATTGCGGCCTGTCCATGGTCACATGATCAATATTCAGATGCTCAGCAACTGATTCATATTTGTGAAGATTGCGGTGTCCCCGGGTCATGTGATCCTCTTTTGCGATCTTCTGACAAGCAAAGTCAATGGGGAAGCCAGTTTCACTTAAAAACTGTATTACTAACTTAACAACTGCAATAATTCGCTTAACAATTGTGGCAAGAAAGGTCATAAAATAGGGTAAAACTTAATAAATGTTTCACTTGGCAACAAAAATGTTGGGCTCAATTGTAATCGTAAGTCGAGGATTACCAATACATCAATAATAATGAGCTATATTTCTCTGAAGAATTGGATATTTTATATGTATATATGGGGGTGGAGCTTTTACTTATAGAATTCTTGCATGGATACAGTCATCCTAGGAAAGAATCTATTTGCTTGCTCTCTTTTCCATAATACTTATCTAGTGACCCACCAAGCAGCTACGCCTCTTCTGCAGTATGATGAAAAATGCCCTTGAAGCTTAGCTGTTTGCTTCCTATTTTTTCTTCTTGGGCTGTTGAATCTTTGTTTTATGTAAGATGTTTTAGAAGACTTTAGTTGATTTTAGTGCTACAATGATGCTGTGTGGTTCAGTGTACTTCATCATAGTTCAGTGATGGGTAACCTTTTTGTCCTCACATGTCAAAAGTGTGCGCATGCACATGCAAGAGTACACACACATGCCTGCACCCATAATGCAATGCACATGTGACTCCCTCCCACCCCCCTGCACATGCGCACAGGAACCCCCGTGTTCCCCTTGCCCCCTGTGCATGCACATGGGAACCTCCCCGCTCCCCCCGCCCCTGTGCATCACCCGCAAGCGCCCTGCCCCCCCACGCATGCATGGCAGAAACCCAAAAATCAGCTGGCTGGCAGGAGGCATGCATGCGCAGTGGGACTGAGCTGGGGCGACAGCTCGCGTGCCTGCAGAGATGGCTTTGCATGCCACTTCCGGCACTTGTGCCATAGTTCAACAATAGTCTGTTGGTTGTTTCTGAAATGATGTATGTTAGTGTTATCCTTTCCATAGTTTGTATTGATTGAAATGTGCTGTATAGAATTTAGTGGTTAGATACAAAAGTCATCTTCAACATACAATGTGACTATAACAACCACTATGGTACAGGGGTGGTATTCGACCGGTTCTGGCGAGCCGGTAGGAGCGATGAGCAGCAGAGACCGAACCGGTTCTTTCTGCTGTTGGGCCTACCCGCCCGCCCAGGCTCTCATACTCACTTTATCTGCTGGATTTGAAGCGCAGTTGCTTTGCGCGGCACGGAATAGCGCCGCGCAGCAGCTGCTGAAGCAACTGGGATCGTGCAGGCTTGCAGGAGGCAAGTTAGAATGCCTCTGTGCCTGCGCAAAGTGCGCATTTGGCATGCACGTGCATGCAAAGTGTGTGCACGTGCGCAAAGTGCGCCCACCAAGCCACGCCCACCGAACTGGTGGCAACAATATTTGAATCCCACCACTGCTATAGTATATAGAACAGACAGACAGAAAACTAGCAGACCACATCCGTAAACACCAACTAACAGTCAGAAGGCACAATGAAAAGTGCTTAATCTCACAACAGATGATCAGACTCAACCGTAGTTTCAATTAGGAAACTGAGAATTCTAGAACAAGCTAAATCCAAGAATGCTGCAGAATTCCTGGAAGCTTTGGTATTCCGAGAAATCAGCTCTCAGTGGGTATTGCATTCAAAAGGGACACTAAAAAAGAAAACAAAAAAGACTCAAGTGTGTAGGGTTTGCTTTCATATAAAGCAAGGAGGACACCCTATACTAATACTTCTGTTACCTAGTTGAGCAATGAAGAGTCTGCAAGTAAACAACCAAGCTCAAAGAACATCAAGGACACCACAGTTCAGCCCTGAGCTACATTTACTAATTGTTCTGTAAGCGCCTGGAACTAAAACATTGCACATTGACAATTAGCAATTTCTGTTCAATCTTTGTTTTTGTTTAGGTAGCTACTTTACCAAGCCTGTTATGCCTGGGTGCATGTATTTGGTTTGTTTAATACCTTTGACCACAGTTCCAGCTACGCAGACACACAGGTGTTTAAATGTATTGCCATTACATTTAAAATGCCAAACATGTCGTGTTTTCTATTTGTATTGATAATCTACTTTATTCTCAAAAGAAAAAGAAAAAGACCCAGTTAATATTCAAGATGAGCAAAAGGGAAGTGATAATGTGTTTTGTTGATATATTTTCTGATGGTGTAACTGTTTTTGTATGTATTAAGCTTTTGAGCAAATTAATTGACTTGGAACATTAGCAAGGTCTTTGTAAACAAAATATTATCTTGACCAAGTAAGAATGCTTATTAGTGTTTAGAAAACTGCTGAATTTGAGGTAACAGTGGTTGATATCCAGGCAGTATTGGTTGAATATTTGTACTTTGAAGAGTTGAAAAGCAAGATATAAATTACAGAAATACTGTGCATTTTTCTGCAAAGTTTTTACTGAGCCACTTTTTTTTTGCTGACATTTTCCATCACCCTTTCTTTTGTATTTCTTTCATTTTTATAATATGTTATAATATATTCATTTTCTGCTGGTATCCAGTATCTTCCCTTTTTCAGGGGGTACTTTTCCAGCTGGTTGTACTGGAATTGCAATTTTCAGTAAAGCCAGGCACTAACCTAGGTCAGGTGAGAACTAAGGAGGTCAAGTGATCCAAAGCAGGTGTACCCACCATATTTGTTGCTGCTCGTTAAAGAAACTGCATGTTTGAATTTATATGCGTTTGACTTAAGGAGTACTGAGATGAGTGTTCCCATATCTGTTCCAGGACACTTTGTCACTTTAGTACTTTTTTGAAAGTTCAGTTGTACTGTATTAGAAAGAAAATATGTAAGTGATACATTGGTGTTACCATTGAAGGCTATAAAGCCTGGCTAACACAACAAATTATATATCTAGTAAGTAGTGAGGACATGTGTTGAACTGGAACTCCATCTGACTGCAGTTTCTTTAATAATTTACATTCCTAGAGCATATTGACATGAAATTAATGCTTATGTAGAATAGTTTTTTTAAAAAAAGCAAACTGATTGTACTGTCTTAGATAACAAAGATTAAGCTTTATTCTAACACAAAAGATCTTTCTAGAATTGTTACTTTTGTAACCATTTTTTTGCACAATCCTTGCATGAGAAAAATATTGGGGATGTATCATTATTCTTTCAGGGATTAAACATATATAGTCATTAACCATCACTTATGGTTAAGGTTGTTCAGCTTAGAACACATTTTATAGAATACATTGGGACTGCATGTAAAATTGATGAATTCACCTAAATGTATACTACTTTGTATTGTAATATTCATCTCATCTTCCATCTCTGCATTTCATTTTATCTTATACTGTTTTATCTCACTCTTTTTTCTTAATCATACCTTGCCATATTTTATTTCACCTTATATTGTATCTTATTTTACTATGTCTTGGCTTATTTCATCTTAGTGTATGTTATCGCGGCTGATGCCCATTGCTTTGATATGGTCAATTAATTAATCTGTAACGTTATGCTACTATTATTACATTTTTAAAATAACAATATGCAGCTAAACAATTTTTTGTGATTTTTTAAATATCAGGACCAATTTCATGAAGTTAATGCCTTATTAATTCTGAGATACCCATGTGAATGTATTCATTTTACTATTGCATAGAGCGAAGATAGTCCAAGTCCCAAGAGACAGCGCCTTTCTCATTCAGTCTTTGACTACGCAGCAGCATCACCAGCCCCATCACCACCAATGCGACCATGGGAGATGACATCAAATAGGCAGCCTCCTTCAGCTCGACCAAGCCAACATCACTTCTCAGGGGAACGATGCAACACACCTGCGCGCAACAGAAGGAGGTCAGCCTTCCTGGGGACAGACATACTCTTCATTTAGAAAGCAGTTTTTGAAGCATCAAATTTATTAGTATTAGGTTCTTGTATAAGAAACAATCACTCCAGAATTTAAAAGTTATGGAGTCTTAATTTTATGAACTTCATGAAGCCTATGCCAGAAACATGGAGTTTTGTAACATAAACTTAACATAACATAAACATAAACTTTATCCTATAGGTTTATTGAAGATACGCTTCTAATATTAGTAAACCCTAATATTTGATTGTCCAAAATGTTTAGTTGTTAGCTTAAATATTGTTGTTCTATTACTCTAGTACATCTTTATCCAAAGATATCAGAATTGACATTCAAGCCTTCTTGTCTCTCCTCTATTCTTTTGTCATAACTGTGAGGGAAGTTTAGCTGAGAAAATGTAAGTAGGCTAAGGTCAGTGAGCCATGACTTCTGTTTTGAAATCATTGTAAAATATAAAATAAAACTTTGAAGTCAGATATCATATATCAATCAATTCTTAATTATCTACTTTATGCTTATTGGAAGGAATCAATAATTTAGCATGGCTCAGGCTAATTTCTGAAAAAAACAGCATATCTTTGCAATTTTTGCTACAAAGTTGGTATTCTTATTGGGACTACCAGTTACCAAGAATAAGATATTTTGTTACCTCCATATATTTTTCTTTAAGTTTCTATTACATGCTTATTCCAGGGAACACAAGATACAACAAATATTTTATTTTCTTACCACAATCTAATGAGGAAATTTGAGCTAAAAATTAAAGTTTTTCCCCCCAAAATAACATATGAATGAGAAAGGAATTGAATGTATAACTATATCATTGAGCTATGCCATTATATAATATGCAACATCATGATTTTCTAGATTCATTTAAATTATTAATACTCACTTAGATGATTTCAGTCTCATTCTTAACTTTTTGCCTCCATCATATCAGTTTACTTTGAGCTTAATCAGTTGCTGTATGTTTTTTCTAAGATTTTCTCAGAAAAGTTCCCACAATCTATTCATTACAGACCTCCAGTGTTGCATAAATTAATTCAGATGTTTTGAATATTTTCATATTAGTAATTGCTCTTTCCATATTTTTTTCCTCTTCAATTCAGTCATACCGTAGAAGGCAGAGATTTTGTACGAATCTCTATTATGTGTTTGAATTGTAGAGTGTAAAGAAGATAACTGCATTGCTCAGTACTCAAATGGCTTGCCAACTGGCAGTATTCATCACAGAACCAGTTGTCTGGCCTCTGACCCATGCGCTAAGTTCAGCTTGACCTTCACTCTTGCTACTAAGTTATCTGAGAAGAAAAGGACCATCTGGCAATCTTGATTATTCTGATTATGTTACGTTACTTTTGCCCCAGAAGAAAATACAAATGCATTCAGATTTTTGTGATGGGAGAAATGTAGGAATACAGGAATAAAAGTCTATATCCATAGTATGTAGTTAGTTTAAAAATAGAAATTACCATAGCTGTTCAAAATATAAAACTTGTCCCATTTGATTATTTATAGCCCTCCTGTTAGACGCCAGAGAGCAAGAAGAGATCGACTGTCTCGACATAATTCCATTAGTCAAGATGAAAACTACCATCTTCCTTATGGACAGCAACAAGCAATAGAAGAACCACGAGCCTTTCACCCACCAAATGTGTCTCCCCGTATGTTGCACCCAGCTGCTCATCCGCCACAGCAGAATGCAGTCATGGTTGACATCCATGAACAGGTATGGGCAAAAATAGAAAAAATATTCCCCAAGTTTCTTATGACTAACACTTTTTAATTGTTAATATTACCAATTACCTGGTATATTGGGAGAACTCAACCCCTGTCATTCCGTATGAATCATTCTTGTTTGTGCTGCTGTCTGTGCTGAACAAATGTGTGTCTGCATTAATACAATCTGATTTAACAACGTAATCATACTTAAGTGAACTCTGATTGGAAGGCCAGAACTTTGCCTTATTTCTCTAGGAATGCAATGGTTTGTTTCTTGATTTCAAATGAATTTTTGTAATTTATACTATGGCACGGTACAGTGTGGATGTGGCCAATGCTCTGAGAATATCAAATCTATTAACAGGAAGGAGAAATTAATCCATCGGGCATATTAAATGTGGTTAAATTATATTTTGACATTCCTTTTAAGTATTCAGATAGTAGAAAAGGCGATAGAAATTGCTCGGTGTCTTATTTTGTTGTTACATTGTGATAGACTAATATATTATCAAAGAACTTGATAGGTTATGTGTGCAGAATGACATACTGGTCGTACCCCTGTAATCACAAAGGTCTTTTCAAAGAAATTCTGCTTATACCTTAGAAACTATAGTAGAGTATTGCAGCTTTCATGTGGATGGACTGGGCTGCCCGAAGGCATATTGATGTTCACATGCAGCAGTAACTATTTTTAGTTTGCATACACAATACAACATGATATTTAGATCTGGACTGAAAGTGCTTTACATGTGAGTTAGCCAAAAGGTTGATTAGGGTCTACTACTTAATCTTTGATCTGCCAGTGAATCATCAAGGATTTCAGAGTCACAATTATATAGGAAATAATGACAATTGGCAGAATGTTCCCATTGTTGAGATGTGAGTATTCTATACTTGTGCACTTCAACTATTTCAAATAATTGAAACAAAGACAGAACAATATCTTCCTATTTTTTTCTGTTACTAAGCTCTTTCTAACTTTTTGCATACAGTACAGTAGTCCTCAATTTACGACCATAATAGGGACCAGAATTTCTGTTGTTAAGGAAGTTAGTGTGTTAAATGAGTTGTGTCTGATTTTACAACCTTTTTTGCCCTGGTTATTAAGTAAATCACTGCAATTGTTAAATAAATTGTGTGGTTGTTAAGTTAATCCACCTTCCCCCATTGGTTTTCCTTGGCAAAAGTTGGTTGCAAATGACAATGGGTTCACTTTATAACCACCACATTCACTTAACAACTGCTGCAAAAAAAAAGATTGTAAAACCAGACACAGTTACCTAATTACCCACTTAACAACCAGCATGACTTACAAGTTGTAATTCATTCAGGTTTTGAAGGCACCTTTCCATCTTGTGCTCTGAAAGATCATGAAAATCTTCTTTTTCTAATCAGCTGTTGGATTTTACTACTTGCATTATTTTGGTTGAGTCTTACTTTTTGTACACAGCTCAGATTTGTAAAATTACGATGGTTAACAGCTTTGTTAAACAAACAATATTACTGAAGCTGTCTTTCTACAACAAATTATAGGGGCACTTGTGTTGTTGAAGTGTATTCCACTAGACAGATACAAGGCTATAGGTTTAATTTAATCTGAATCTGATGTTTCTGTTCAAGCTTCAGTTCTATGTACAATCAGAAGATTAACCAGGCAGTTTAAGTAGGAGCAGTATTATAAAAAGAGCTACAAATGAGGACACAGGGTGTTTGTTCACTGTGTCTTAATGCATGTTTTGTATGTCTTCTTTGTAAGGTAAAAGAGATTTTTGCAATGTTGGAGAGTAAAAGAATCCATGTTTTAGCTGTGGCTGTCAGTTGCCTTGATGCAATTAAAAAGTGATAGATTTTGTTCTTTATTATGAAAAGACATTTTCTGAAATATTTGACTGCTGCCAAATAGTCTTCAACTTATGACCACAATTGAGCCCAAAATATTGCTAAGTGAAAAATTTGTCAAGTGAATTTTGTTCCATTTTACGAATTTCTTGCCACATTTGAATCACTGCAGTAGTAGGGTTGTACAATGTATATAAATGTATAACACACAAGAGATAGAGATGTATAATACAAATGTTACAGTACTGTTAATGTTATGGGGGTTTTTTCTTTTAAGAATGTAAAAGAATAAAGTTTAATTTAAAAAAAGTTAGTAACACGGTTGTTAAGTGAATCTGGCTTCCCCATTGACTTTGCTTGTTAGAAGGTTGCAAAAGATGGTCACATGACTCCTGGACATGGCAATGGTCATAAATATGAACCAGTGGTCAAGCATCCGAATGTAAATCACGTGACCACGGGAAGGCTGCAGTGGTCATAAGTTTGAAAAATGGTCAAAAGTCATTTTTCCCCATGCCGTTGTAACTTTGAACGGTCACTAAATGAACTGTTGTAAGTTGAGGGCTATCTGTACTAAGTTGATAATAGCTGGCGGGTGATTCTCAAACCTCCTAAAGTGTTTTTGTAGAAAACCATAACCCCGATGACTTCAGAGTTTCCTGTTATTTTGGTCCTTGTATGTTGATCTTGATTCTTCTTGTCCTTAGATTCACCAGGGCACGGTCCCTGTTTCATATACAGTGACCACAGTAGCCCCACATGGGATCCCACTTTGCACAGGCCAGCACATACCAGCCTGCAATACGCAGCAGGTCCCAGGGTGTTCTGTGGTTTTCAGTGGGCAGCACCTTCCTGTCTGCAGTGTGCCTCCTCCAGTAAGTAGTTCTTTAATTTTAATTTTGGAATAGATACTGAAAATAATTGGAAGAGCAGACAGCTTTAAAAGAATGTATTTATACCTGAATTTGCATGTTAAAACGTTAAGTTTCTTGTAACATTGCATCAACATGTTTTTAAATAACTGTTAAACTGTTAGGTTTATTTCACAAACTTAATTACTTCAAGAATAGAATATTGGCTTTATTCCCCTTGATATTTTTGAACATAACCTCTATAAAGTAGTATGTGTACAAAATTTGAAAATACCTATTTTATCTCACTATTAGTAATAATTGTTGTAGTAGCTATGCCACCATTCCTTTTATGTTTACTCAGGATGGTGAAAATTCGTAATAATCTTGCCTACTGTTTCCCCTACAACAACACTCCTGTGAGGTGTGGGTTCGGCTGAGAGAAAGTGATTAGCTCAAAGTTGCCCAGTCAGCTTCCATGTCTAAGAAAGGCTTAGTTTAACAACTTTGGTACAGAGAATTCTTTCAGAATTGTTACTATAAAGCTCAAATAAAATGCCTTTGCTATATTTGACATTCCAGGCAGATTTTTTTAAAAATAAATTATCCTCCCTTTCTCAGGTGCTACTACTCTGAAATATCTAGATACTCTTAATAGTTAATAACCTAATAGGAAAAAATACAGCCATGCATATATATTGAAACTGACTTACTAACATACAGTTCAATGACAATGAAAGAGCTCATAGGTCTTATACTGCTATCTACAATTCCTACAGAAGAAACTTAACATTGCTTAAGCTTGATTTAAAGTTTCAAATAATAGCGTAATAAATTCTCCATTTGACATGGATGAAGTTACGTAGTTTGTAATTATGTAATTGTTTAGTTTCTAAACTATTGGAGTTATGTAATTTCCTTAGAAAAGATTAATTCTGCCATGACAATAAGTTATTTCTTCTTAATATGCTTAATTAATGTTGCTTTCATTAATAAAAGGGAGATAATCTATACTGTTGCAATAATATTTGTAAAATAAATATAGCTTTATTTTACCTTATTCTTTTATAAACATAAGCATCCAAAAAATCTATGTTGTATAAGGTTGTATATGTTTATCTTTTGCAGATGCTTCAAGCTTGTTCTGTTCAACATTTGCCGGTTCCATATGCAGCTTTCCCGCCCCTCATTTCTAGTGATCCATTTCTTTTACATCCTCCACACCTCTCCCCACACCATGCTCCACATTTGCCACCTCCAGGCCAGTTTGTTCCTTTTCAGACACAGCAATCGCGATCGGTAAGTGTTCCTTTTTTAAAACTCTAGTAATAAATTTTGGAATACTGTATTTAAGATCATCACGTTTTGATGACTTCCTGCCAAAGGTTGCTCCACTATTAAATTGAGAAATTCCATGAGTAAATTCTTATATAGTAACCTGTGATATGCAAAAAGCAATCTAGCTTTAATCGTGTTGATTCCACGATTGATAGAGGAACAGAATCAAAAATGGATTTTTAAGTTAGCATTGTGGTATTGGGTTTCCTATCTGAATGTGGAGAGAATAAATCAGAGTTGATATTTCTATTTAAATAACCACTGGGGGTTCCGTTTTGAATTTAACTGCAATTTCAGATTTAAGAATATAGCTCTGCTTCAGTGAAATTTCTTTATATCTTTTGTTATTCAGACAGGGATTTTTTTTTTTTAAAAAAAAAGCTTAAATACATTTTTTTAGTCTCACTGTAATAGTTAAATATCTCCTGGTGCTTTTCAGAAGTGTTAAGACCAAGGTTCAAAAGGCTCTTCCGAGGCAGGGATCTCAAATGACAATGGCTAGCAAGTGAAGCCCATTGTTACTAAGATGATAGATTGCCTATGCCAACAAGGCTTATTAATTTGGCAGTACGATATGTAATCACCTGGTTATCTTTGCTTTAGTTTTTCATGCTGCTGCCCAGAAAAAAACATACTTTTCTAACTTAGACTATAGTGGTAATTCATGTAAACACGAGGTTTTCCTAAGAAAAAGAGTTCGGCAACTTCTGGTTTGCATATGCTCTCCTTGGCATCTCATCCTTGAAAATTCTGAGGTTAAACTTGGAATTTGGTATTAGCTTAGTTATTTCTTGGTGTGAAAATGCTCAGAGAAGAATGGAGCTATGCATACAAGCCAAAGGTACTTAAATTTCCACATCCCAGGGAACCTCAAAACCACAAAAATGTGATTTTTATGCCTATCAGTTTAAAGGCTCAACCTGCAAAACATTCACCTTATTCTTTTCTAAAAGCACCTTTTTAAGGTGCTTTGCTTTGTTGAAGGTTTGAGTGAACACTTTTGGAGCTATCTTCTAAAACAGTGCAGTCCAGTAAAGTCATCATAATCGTATTCTTTTACTTGGTCCAGTTTCCTAGCTCCTTCTAAGCACAGCAACTACACAGCAATTTCTTCTGGCTTCAGCAGGTCCTGGTGGAGAAGGTTTTGAGTTGCTGTGAAGTAATGCTCTTCTCTGTTTACTCCAGTATTCTCAAGAGACAAGTCTCCACTAGAAAATGTTTTGCTTAGCCTTCTCCAGAAGAACTACCAGGCTTATCATCAGTGTTCTGCAACAGTCCTTGCCAAGTTTGGGGAGGGGAGAGTTAAAAGCTTATTAGTTTTCCAATACTTCAAAAAAGTTGTTTCATAAATACTGTATAATAAGGTAGCACCATGGTAAAATAGACTACATCAGTGAATTAGATTTGATACTGTTTAGAATCATAATGAATGCTTTCAAATTAGTAAGATTAATTTCAAGCAGTACATTCTGTTCTGCTCTGAAAACAGTATAAATGTGCATTGTCCATTTGTTTAATTAGCCAACTAACCATATATTTAAAACGTTAAATATAATGTGATGTTTCTGTTTTCTTTTTCCTTAGCCTCTCCAAAGGATAGAAAATGAAGTAGAGTTACTTGGAGATCATCTTCCCGTAGGAAGTTTTACCACCTATCCACCTTCAGCCCACCCACCAACATTGCCTCCCTCAGCTCCCCTTCAGTTCCTAGCACATGACCCTTTACATCAAGAGATGTCATTTGGAGTAGTAAGTGATGTTTTCCAAAATACTGACAAAAGCCTTTTGTTTTAGGTTTGTAATGCACAATTTTGATCATATTTATTCAATTTCTAATAGCTGCCTTTCTCAGTCAATGACTCTGAGCACTCACAGTTTAAAAAAAACATACAACAATTAAAACAATAAAATATTTTAACACAAAAACGATAAAATCCAAAACACATATACACAACAGCCAAGATACTTGGCCAGTTAAAAATAAGCCAGGAAAGATACTTGGCCAGTTAAAAATAAGCCAGGAAATTGAATTCTTAGCACATTTGGCACCCCAGGCTCGGAAACACAGCTAGATGTTTAGAGCTTTGTGAAAGACTAACAGGGTTTGGGCCATTCTAATCTTCAGGCGGAGGATATTCCACAGAGCTTGAGCTACTGCAGAACAAAAATAGCACTTATATAGCGCTTCACAGTGGTTTAAAGAGTCAGCATATTGCCCCCAACAATCTGGGTCTTCATTTTACTGACCTTGGAAGGATGGAAGGCTGAGTCAACCTTGAGCTGGAATTGAGCTCCTGGCAGCGAGCAATGTTAGGCTGCAATACTTCATTCTAACCTCTAACCACCATGACTCATGAAAAGGCCTGTCCCTGCCAGCCATCACTCCTTGGCTGAAGGGATCTGCAGCATGCCCAGTCTGCTAGATTGAATTGGATTGGTAGAGACTCTTGAAAATTGTACTGTGTGAAGTATTCACTTGTCATGCTTATATATCAAATCAATTATGATACCTGCAGAGGATACACTAGGGAACAAAATAGCAAACAAAAATATATTTGATATAAACAAGCAGCAGCACTGTTTCTCATGACATAACTATAGAATTTAGAGAAAACTACCCAAGGTGCTATGGATCTAACTTTGTGGAGTAGTTTAAAATCTATTGTATTTGTAGGGTAAAGGCCATCAAGGAAAAGTAATGCCTCTGGGCTCTCACTTACCTCATCTCACAAAAACTGGAGCCACGAAGCAACCCCAATTGGGCTAAGTACACAGGATGTGGCAAAAGAGATGGCTCCAAAGATAATCTGGGAACCAGATCACATAGAGTTTTTAAAGTTAAACCAGGTTCTTTAGAAGCCCATTGGTAGCCAATGTAGTGCCTACAGTATAGATGATATATAATTATGGATGCTTTTCCCCCTTTCCATGCAGACCACTGCATTATGTATCAATTGCAGTTCCCTAGCAATGTTCAAAGATTCCATTTAAATATATTGCTGTAGTTTAGTTATGATGAAAGTGTGAGTTATTTTTGTAAAGATCTCTGAGCGGGGCCTTAACTGCAGGAAAAAAAACATTGTGATAACAATATTTTCACATGTGAAACCTTTTATAAGTTACCATACTTTTAAAACACTTTGCTTTGTTTCTTTTAGCCTTATCCACCCTTTATGCCTCGAAGACTCACAGGGCGCAGTCGATACCGATCTCAGCAACCAATTCCGCCTCCCCCTTACCATCCCAGCCTATTGCCATATGTGCTGTAAGTTTGACATCTGGGGTTTGTTTGGGTTTTTTGGGTATGAATTTAAGGTGATGACGCAATGCCTTTTTTCTAAAAGGTCAGGCACAGGTAGTCTTCAACCATTGGTTAAGCAACTGTTTGAAGTTACAAAAACACTAAATGAATGGTGATCATAACCCAGTCTCCAGTATGCTTTCCTTATGGTTTCCTCTATTGGAAAGATAAATGCTTTCTGTTCTTGTTGAAAGACAAATTGTTAGATTTTGTTTTAAGGAGTCCTATTTAAACTTGATTTCATACTTTTTTTACTTAACCTATAAGACATCTTATTACTTGTTTATAGTTGGAGAATTTGTTAGTAGCGTTATACTGTCTTCAAGCTCTCACTCATGTGAGTGAGTAAAAGTAAGAAATAGCAGAAGTTTCCTTATCTCAATCAAAAATAAGACATTAACATAAAATCACAACTTTTTGTTTTTTCATAATAATATGAACAAGCAATTTCTATAAAGATCTATCAATCTAATTGGTAAAACCCAAAATCAAAGTTTCATTCTTTTCTACTTTAAGCACAAAGTTCAGAAGCAGTCTCCATGTGGAAATAAAAGTACTTACATTCTTTTCTTTAATCAAAATAGTCAGATTTGTCATTTCAGCCAACTCCATCAACTTCTGTAACCATTTGTCCATGTTAAGAATTGAAGTGTCCTTCCATTTTTGTGCATTCTTGCTGCTGTCAACATATATAGTAACAGAGTTCCATTTTTTTTCTCCAGGTCTTTTTCCATTAGATCCAAAAGGAAAAAAAATGGTTTCATCTTTATCTCCATTTTCAAAATGTTCTGTATTAAAATATGAATCATATTCCTATTTTTTTTTTTTTGCTTTATCACATGTCCACCACAGATGATAAAAAGTCCCTTCTTTACTTTTACACTTCCAACATTCATTTGACATACCTTTATACATCTTCGATAACTTATCTGGTGTTAAATACCAATGATACATCATCTTATAGAAATTTTATTTTAGATTATAATTTGATGTAAATTTTAAACTCTTCATCCATATATTTACAAAGTCAGTGGGGAAGCCAGATTCACTTAACGACCATGTTACTAATTTAACAGCTGAAATTATTAACCTAACAACTGCGGCAGAAAAACTTGTAAAATGGAGCAAAATTCAGTTAAAAATTATCTCACTTAACAACAGAAATTTTGGGCTCATTTATCGTCATTAGTTGAGGGTTATCTGTATATGTTTTAGAGCAGTTTTTGACTTTGAACAATACTTTCCTTCTACTGCCTAGTTTGTATTAATTGAGGAAGTAGGAATTGTCTGCACTCACTACTGTTGAGTGTAGAAATTGTGGTGGTGGGTAAGAATCTTTTCAGTGGAATAAGCTTTCATTCTAAGCTTTTAATTCTTTACCTTAGTGCATTAAGTTTTTGTATTTGTTTTGCTGTAATTTTAACAAATATTCTGGGAACAGGTTGAAAAATATGGGTTAAAAAGTATTTTATTTTTGGAATAATAATAAGCCCGTCCCTCTTTCATAGATCAATGCTTCCTGTGCCACCTGCTGTTGGGCCAGCCTTCAGTTTTGAGCTGGATGTAGAAGATGGTGAAGTAGAAAACTATGAGGTTGGTTAGCAATCTGAAGTATAGTCATGAGGATTTAATTTAAAAAAAAAATCTCAAATTGTTAGATTAGTTGTACTTGGTACCAGAAGGCAGTTTACACAATATTAATTTTTTTCTCATTATCGGCCAACTCTCCTTAACACTGGCCAGAAGTCAGAATGATTGTACTGTGAAGGAGGGAAAGTCTAAAATTGTGTGGAAGGAGCTTATGGAGCATGTTAGGATTTCTCCTTATGCATAATACCTTTGAAGCATCCCCTTTCATGCCACTAGATGTGATTTTTTTTAAATGCATCCTTAGATGGAAACCATAAATTTGTGAATGTCTTTGTTTGGAATAGAAAAATATATTAATTCCATAACGCTAGTTAATGTGTAAGAATGTACCATATTTTTCGCACTATAAGATCCCCAAAACAGTGGGTGGAAATGTCTGCGCGTCTTATAGAATGAATACTGAGGCAGGGGGAGGGGGGTTGGTGCGCGGCTGCCGAGGAATGCTAGAGTCTTTGCTGCCAAGCAGCTGATTGGCAGTTGGATCAGATGTTCTAGGTGGGGATCGCCATCGCTGCATCGCCGGCGAACAGGTGGTAAATGGATGGCGATAGGCAGCGGTGGTGATCCCTGCCGCCTAGAACAGCTGATCGGTGGTATTCCGAGAGGCCGATCCAACTGCCAATCAGCAGTGAAGGCTCCAGCATTCCCTGGCAGCGGCAGCAGCTCAGCTCAGTTGATCTGTGGTTGGCGCAACAGAGCGGAGTCCTGACGAACCACATGCTGGGCCTGCGATAACATGCTGAAGCTGACCAGGCTGTTTGCTGCTTGCTGCAAGGATGCTAGCCAGGTGAATACCAGATGGATGCTGGGAGGCAGAGGCAGATTTAGTGTGTGTTTTCTTCCTCTAAAGCTAATGTGTGTCTTATAGTCCGGAATGTCTTCTAGTGCATATATGGTATTTACACAGATGGATTTCTAAGATCTGTTCATTTTGAATTTAACTGCCAAGTAAGAATTGTTTACCTCATATGTGTATATATCTACATATATATGTTTTCTTAAATTTTCACGGGTACTTACCTGTATGTTATTCAGCTTTGTTCGGGTATTTTCCCACGTCATTATAGTTGTGCTTTTAAAGTTGTAGCAACGTTTCGGCAGAATCTCATCTGCCATCATCAGGCTTCTGTATGTACAGACGAACACAATACAGAAGCCTGATGATGCCAGATGAGATTCTGCCGAAACGTTGCTACAACTTTAAAAGCACAACTATATAATGACGTGGGAAAATACCCGAACAAAGCTGAATACCATACATCTACATGTATGTAGATACAGATAATTTTGGTTTTGTATATCATATGGATTGTATATTCTGGTTTCTTCCTCATCACAAACTAGTAGTGATATGAAAAAATAAAGGGTTGAACTAAAGAATTATTTCTCTCACAGGCACTGCTGAACTTGGCTGAAAGACTGGGTGAGGCCAAACCAAGGGGTTTGACAAAAGCAGATATTGAACAACTTCCGTCTTATAGGTTCAACCCAAATAACCATCAGTCGGAACAGACTTTGTAAGTTTTTCATACTTTCATTGAACCTTTAGTATGAAGGCATGTTCTCTTGTTGCTGGAGTCCTGCACAGAAGCACCTTAGGCTTAAAATTACTTTCCAGCTTGTATTGTTGACCTTTGGTTTTGAGGCTTTTCCAGTTAACCATGAACTGAAATGTTAAACATAAGGCATTAACATTTTAATTCTGGCTGTCTACTCACAATATTTTAGATTTCAGAAGGGGCACATAATCTCTCTTGCTCTCTTTTACTATATTGGAATTGGACTGGAACAGCAGAAAATTAGGTGAAGGAAAGGCCATTCCTGTAAGATGAGAAGTAGCATTTCTGTATCTTCAGAAATTCAGTCAACCTTCCCTTCTTGTAATAATACTGTACATTGGTATCTGCCTTTGAAATATGGAAATTATCAAATCATTTTGCAATGTTGACTGGGGTATAGATTTTCAAAGTGAAAATGTATCACATAAAAAGATAACAATAAAATAATCCTTTTTCTTGAATTTTCTCATTTAAAATTGGCCTTATTTTTAAATCTCTGCCTTATTTTTGTTCCTCCAAAATGATAAATAAAAATAAACCTAAATCTGCATTTTGAAAAAAATAAACATATACTTCTCACTGAATCTCTGTAATGAGAGTTAGAAGAAATATATGGGAGAGGATTTAAGAAAAAAAACCCTATTACAAAGGAGTGAAATTGAATTGAGTATTGAATAAAATTGAATAAAAAGGAGTGAAATTGAATTGAGAATTCAACAATTCAATTTTTGCATGAATTTAGATTAGGCACTTCTAAATTCCTAAAGAGGGTTGTAATTTTTTAAAATTAATATGAAGCCTAAAATCTGGTTGGTTGGCTTTTTTCCCCAAAACCAGCAGCCTTTTGGAAAGCATGTCTGTGGTGAAATAATTCATTTTAGAATAATGAGTATAAAATAAAGTCAGAGTATTCATACTTCACTATTCTTCAGTACCCTAAAATAATAAAAGCAGTGTAGTATTACTTTGAAATGCAGGAGCAAAATGCATTTTGTAAAGATATAATTATAAATGTAATTCTATAAATAAAAACACTTTTACATAGCACTGTTGTTTTTAAATGCCCAAGTGATCTTGGTCAATAAGAATTTAATATGAAGTTAAATCAGCTGATTGACATTAATGATACATATTTTACATTTTCCCAAACTCTGAATTAAAAAAAGTGGTGAGTCATACAACTGCTTTTCTTGTCAACAAATTCAAAGTGTTAAAAACATTACTTTCTATATTGCTCATTTCAAATATTGAAAATGTATACTAGATAGAGTCAACTCCCTGCTTACCTGCAGTTCTGTTTTCATCTACTTGAGGATTGCTGAGGTAATATATGTGAAATGCTTTACAGTCCAAGTAGTATAATAAGAACTAGGAATGTGTAAAACATTCCTTGCACAAGCTGTTCCATGCACAAACTGTTCTGTATGCAGAACTGCTGGATTTGGGTGGTCTTTGCCCACACTGCAACATGCTGGCTGTTTTGTTTCAGTCACGGCACATAAAGGAACTGTTTTGACACAGGCACAAATGTTTCAAGAAGAAGGGAGCAGGGGAAAAGTCAAGGATATTGACAGCTGAGGTGGGAAGGAAAGTGCCAGGAAGACTGAGGGTTGGCATGTCGGGGGTACTGAATGCTGTACTGGAATATCGCAAGTGATGGGGAGAGAAGGAAGGGAGCTGGGAAGATCAGGGGTAGATGGGCCATTAGGAAGTTGCCATTCTGGGAGTCACTGATGAAAATGGGGGGAGTTTCTTGCCTGTTTAGATTTCGCTTCATCCAAACCCTGAAACAACAAAAAGATTCCAAATTCTGTGTAATGAAAGTTGACCCCAATTCCAGAATGCAGTGGTTTATTCTAAGTTGGAAACAGAACATTTCCCCCATTTTATGCAGACCTCATAAATGACCAGTCTTAATAGGTGTTATTCTTTGCTCATAATTGATATTGAACTGTATTTTTGGAGTGTAAATGTAAAACAACATCTGAAGTCAAAACTTGTTAAATATAATTGTTGCTTTTCTTGAGTAAACTATCTTGCAATATTCTTTTTTAGGTGTGTAGTATGCATGTGTGACTTTGAGTCAAGGCAACTGCTTAGAGTTTTACCATGTAACCATGAGTTCCATGCCAAGTGTGTCGACAAATGGCTTAAGGTAATGTTATTTTTAGAAAGAAAGTTGTTTTAATCATGTCCATATTGCACACAGTAATTTTGCAGTAGTCTGGCATGTTCAGAAGCATACTTGATACTGTAGGAATAACATTTCTTTCCTTAAGATGTATCAGTTTGTTGAAGAATAGAAAGTGTTATAATCTTTCCTAAAACAATGTTTTAAAACTGTCATTAAATATTTTTAAAAATGTATATTTAAAATTTAGCTGGTGTCACCAGAAATAGATGTACGAACAACAGCATTCTGCAAAACATAATTTCAAGAGGAAATTGGAAATTTCAGATGGTGCCTTAAGTTCTATTGTATCACTACAACGGTAAATTCTAAAGAATCAGTCTTACAAAAACCTAATGTTCTGCATAGACAAGGTTATTCAGTTTTAATTTCAGTGGACTGTAAAAAAGGCATGTGTATGAACAAATTTGGGAGAACTTTTAAATATAATTAGGTATCACCATTCGTCCTATGAAATTGTGCAAAGGCAGAGATTTACCATAGTATCTAAACTGATATTCTCACTAATGTATACGATAGTTATATAGTCAATATTTTTATCCTACTTTTTTAAAAGAAAAAACAGATTACCTGCAGTCTACTGTACACAGAACATACCGGTTGTTTATATACCATGTATTCATTCATTCATTCATTCATTCATTCTACATACCCCAATCTCACTTAAGTGGGCAGCTTACAATAATAAAAACATAGTATAAAAACATAAGAGCAAAGTTAAAAACAAATTTAAAAGGCAAGATTACAATATCAAAAGTTAAGTTAATAAGGAGGAGAGTACCTCCTTATGACAACCATCCCTGGAGCTGCATATCACTCTTTGAACCCAATCCCAATTGGCAGATCCAAGTCTTAACGCTGTTCCTGAAGGCCGGAAGAGAAGGGGGGAACATCTCACCTCCGGAGTAAGGTGTTCCAAAGGGGAGGAGCAAAAGCAGAGAAGACTTTCTCTCTGGAATCTACCAGTTTAAATTCTTTAGCCAATGGGATCCGCAATATACTCTCTTTGTCTGATTGGGTGGGACAGTACAATACAGTTGCGGTGAGATAATTCCCCAGGTAACTTGACCCATGCCATGAAGGACTTTAAAGATGATAACCAACACCTTGAATTGGACCCAGAAACAAACTGGCTCCCAAGCTTGTATATGCACAACTCTAAGGGTGTCCAAGACCACTTGCACTCTTCAAATTTTGAAGCCTTTTTGTGCCGTATTTTATATTATTGGTTCATAAATGCAGAAATATTAGAGGGAATATTAGAGAAACGTAGTCACTAAGGATTTGCATTCGTGGCATGCACATTATTCAATTTTACTAAGGGTGTGTTTGAGTATTTTTTTCTTTGTTTTTGGATGCTTTTTGTTTTATTTTCTGATCTTAGGGAGGCATAAAAAATAAATTGCACAAGCTCAGGTTTTCAGTCCTATAGAAGACAGTATCAGGGTTTTCCTCTTGTGTAGTATCCATGTATCTTTTGTGATCTACACATACATGCCAAGTGCTTAATTTCCCTGAAGACCTCAGTGATTGTAAGAATTTTGGTCTTCCCTTTCTGACACTGTAGAAAGTTATATTTGCAATTTATCTTTAGGAATTTTCAGCTAAAAACATTTAGAACAAAAGTACATGTTGACTCGGTTTTAAGTATGGTATGACCCTTGAGGTTTGGTGTAGTTCTTTCATCTCAAAATTCTGTTACCTTACTGAGCCAAGGACAAGTAATCGGCCACCGAGTCTTGTTAGCAGATTTGCCGAAAATGATGTTTCTAATTTTAGGCTGAAATCTTGTGTACTGTACTGATATTGGCATAAGGCAGAAAATACAAGTCAGGGAGATGAAAAGTCAAGGACTCCCACTCAATTTCATTGTACGCATGTTGTGCATTGACAATAAAGGTTTGATTTGAGGTTTGATCCTACCCTCAAAATCTTTCTCTTTCCATATTAGTTCATCCTCCAAAGCAATTCTACATCTGTTGAAGATAATACGTCATTTATTATAATGAGCAGTTTTTTGCCCCTCAGAAGGGTGTTTTCCATTTTGTAGTCACTGTAGCCTTCCTTCAGTAAAACCTCTTATTTTTTTTTATTTTAGGCAAATCGTACCTGCCCTATCTGCAGAGCTGATGCTTCAGAAGTGCATCGTGATTCAGAATGACCAGTCTAAGAGCACAATTCTACTTTGGGTGTTCCTAGTCACATGTGTGTATATATATATATGAACTCTCCATTGAACTTAACCCGTGTGGCTTCCAGCCTTCCCTTTACACAAAAGGGTCAATGGACCTTTCTTTGCACTGTGTGATTTAATCAACTATAAAGCTTATAATTAGTCTTCACAATTATGGGATTGTTATACTAACTGTGTGATTGGAACTCCAAAGATTTTTTTTTTCTTTTAGCTTAATTTCGTGTGTGCACTAACATTCCCTGGTTTTTGTGTGATCATTCCGAGTGTTGCTGCGAGATTACAGTGGAACGTGATCTTCTAGCATGTGCTTTTATATAAAAAGTGGTAGCTCCAAACAATATAGCAATCTACCTTATATAGAGCCTTCAAATACTGTGAGTGAGAATAAATGGTGCGGGTGGGTGCGTTGATCGCAGGATGTCTGTTATGTATGCAGGCGAGCAAGAGTTTGGCGATAGCGTGTGAGAGGACTTATATACCAGCATGTACTGAGGATGTATGTGTGTAGTATTAATTATGCTGCAATGTATAATCTTGTGTGTTATTTAAACAGTACTAGTACTGTACACTGGTTTCTTTCCTTGCGTTTGCAGTTGCACACTGAATGCAAAGGGTGCAGCAATTATAGACATTTGATATTTCATCCCCCATGTATTTAATAGTATAAAAGGTCCTTTTTGCTTTTATCCAGATAAATATTATGCTTCCCATTAATTGGGGGTCCTATATCTGTCATTATAGAGCATATTGATTCTCAGTTACAATTAATTAGCCTTAATTTTAGGCTGCTGGAATTTCTACATTAAAAAAAACAAAAACCTTGCAGCTCACTGCTAACTGTATAAGGAGTTGCAGCATTGCACAGTCAGGTAGCAATATTAAAAATTCTCAACTGATAACGGAAAAGCCGATTGTCCTCTCTCTTTTTTTAAATTTTTCCAATCAATATTGGTTCTTTTTAATTGAACTTTGGAATACGTTGTTTTTAAATTACAGAGTGTGGAGATAACTTTGTTTTGAGGTGTTTTTTTTTAATTTTTTGTCTATAAATACAGAAACAGAGAGGATCTTCAAATCTTGTGCAAATGCTTCTTGTATTGTTGGCAATATATTTGCTTAAATATACAGATACACTGGCACTAATTCACATTCCTTGCCATATACAAGCTACCATATACAATACCTTTTAAAGATTTTTCCCCCTTTTTCAAAGCCTTCAGTTTTGTGAACAAAGTAAACCCTTAGCACTTTCTTAGAGATAGAACATTGTGGTTCTCCATCTTAGCCATGGTACCATGTTCACCTTCTACTGCCTGGCAAGTGTCACAAATGCAGTTTCTAGCTTGCTACACTGGGTAGCAAGTTTTTGTGTGGATGTTAAAGCATCCTCAGTATTGTATGGATAGTATGAAGAATATTCATGGTCAAGAATGGGGTATACGAAACAAGAAAAAAAAAAACCTAAATGCTGTGAATTTGGAGTTGACCTCCTTTCAACTGCCTTCTGAATAATGTAGTGGTAAAATTGGCATCACTTAACATTCTGGACTTGGTGTTTAACTTTTTTTACAACAAAGGAAACAGTTGTCTACCCATGGCTACATGATTCTCCAAGAGAGGAACATTTATTTCTGGATTTCATTTTTAAGCGCCAAAACCTTTGATTGCAACGGCACAAGCGCTGCAGCTATCGCTGCAAGTCAGCTTTCTGGATCTTGTGTGTCTTTTCTGATGCTTTATATGCTGCTATATATTGAATCTCTTTATTCCTCCAGAACAGTGTTGGTTGTGAATCATCCTCCTTCCTCAAAGCTCTGATGACTAATTGCAGTGTGTGGTTCTACAAATTAAAAAAAAAGCACAAGTCCCATCAACCTTCCTTGTTTCAGATACTGTTTGCCTCTGTTTAGTAACTTAGACGCCTTAGTCTGTCCATAGTGTCAGGAACTGTAATCTGTGTGACAGATTTTACATGTTACAATTTTTCTCTTCAATGTGCTCTAAGAAATTGTCTCAGTGTGTTGAAAAGTTTAAATTATTGCACATGGTAAATTTTATTTTTTTAAGCAAACAAAATCATGGGTCGGGAAGTGGGAGGGAAGCCACACACGTTTTACAGAAACTCTGGATCTTTTTTATATTGCTGGATTTTCAGAAAAAGAAAAAGAAAAAAGAAAAAATCACCACACAGAATTACCATACTACTACCCTGCTCATTGTCCGCTGAGTATCCACTCGGCGTAAAGCTTGCTTTGGTAAAAGTAAAAGACGTTTTCTGGAACACAGTGATGAGGCACATTAGTATCTTAATTCCGAGCAAGGGCCTTCCAGCCCTCCTTCTGGATCCAATATTGCAGTGCAGCGCCTGTCCCTTGACTCCCCGTTTTGTTTGAAGAACACTGTTGATGGAGGGATAAGACTGCAGGAGGGGAACTATTCTGGTAGCATGCTCAAGTTAATTGTTGCACTCTTGTGGCAGATCTTTTTGAATGACTTGTTCGCTTGGGACTCTTGCAAATGTGTGCAGGTTTGCTTCCTGTGGTTAGGTTTGTGTGAGACACATGTGCATGTGTTTTGAACCAACTCAAAGCTGGCTGCCATGGCATTCTGAACCCATTTTGCAGCTGGCAGACGAGAGGGGGAGATCATTCTTTGCAGTAAACTGCCATGCATTATGCACATTGACACATCTGATTCTACAGCCCTCGATGCCTGACAGCACCTAATTATACTATTGGGTAGCCTCTTCCCCCTTATCCCTACCTCTCCCTAATGGAAAAAAAATTAAAATAAAGTTGGCTTTATCATGTTGGCACTGCTGGGGTTTTATTTGCATGAATTGTCAACTTAATTTGACCTCCTGGCTTTTTAAAAAATAAATGGTATAAAGGCCTTAAGGATATCTCTTTAAGGTCACACCTCTTGGTTTTCTTTTGCAGATTATTTTGTGGAAAGTAATTTCTTTTGTATAAACTTCTTTGTACAGTCTCCAGAATGTGATATTTGTCGCAGCTGTTAACATTTCCACTTCTTGTACTATTTGGGATTTACCAACTCTTAACTTTGCTTTCTAAAAACTCAATTTTAAAAATCCTGTTATTTGTAGACATCAGAGAATGGTGGTTATCTCACCTTTGCTCCCTTTGGTACCTTCAGTTACCTCATTTTGGTATTTTTTTGTGTTGCAAATTTGCTAATGATTATAAAAGCTTATGGATTTTGTTAGAATTATATTTGTCAAGTGTTTTCTTTAAGATCATACTCCATTGTATCATTTAACATGTAGTTTTAAATGTATTATAAATATCTGTAACCAAATCATTTGAAGGCTTGATAAATTTTTAACAAAATTTGTACATTTTTTATGAGAGTTACTAGTAATGCTTTACTAAGTAGTGCAATGAATTTTTATTTTTAATCCCTGTGCCCAATTTTGGAGTTGAGAGGGTTGTTCAGTAATAAATGTATGATGTACACTTAGACAACTTTGTGTTTTTTCTTGTAAAGTAGCTGTTTAAAAATCTATTAATTGGCCTGGGAACCTCCTCTTCAATTTAAAAATAGAAATAGAGGTTGAATTATATAGCAAGAAAATTGTTAAAAACTCAAATGACAATTTTATTCTAATTTAGCATTGATACATCAAAATTTCAGCAACTGAAGGTTTGGAACTGCCCAGTCTCTTTAAATAATACTGCTTTGGATATTCACGTGGATTGCTATGTATTATTTCTTTTGGGTATTCATGTTGTTATATATTGTTGCTTTTTTAAAATACCTTTTTTTAATGTGTGAGGCTCAGTTAAACATTTAAACTGTCAGCTTACTAAAGGTTTCTTATTACTAGCCTCTTTAGGGTAAAAAGTAGACAGGCAGATGTGGGGCATTCCATTTCCAGATTATTTATATGCAGTCTAAAATGCTCTTTTTGGTTACATGTGTAAACAAAAAGCATCAAAGTGTACACCAATCCCTATGCATTTGTATATTATGTCTGATGGACGCGTATCTCAGTTTATGAAACTTTATTCTAATAATAGTGACATTTGGAGATTTGCATAAACTTTGTTTGGCCTACTCTTGATATTTTGTTATAATGTAAGCAAGTGGAGCTGAATCTAAGGGCAGTGGAATATTTCTGTTTCTTCTCTCAGCTGGGTGAAAGAGGGGTTGGATCCCTGCATAATGGATGGTGCTTGACTAGTGAGCATTCCTTTAATTACAAAAGTGTGTGGGATACTTTCAGTTTCAGTTTACTTTCCTCCTATTTCCTGCTTTTTTTCATTGCCATTCAGGACTCAGATGTTTTCAGTAGGAAGGATGCTCCTGGAAAGCTCCATATACTACTTAAAAGTACGGGGTTGTTTTTTTAACTTGGAACAAAATCTCAGACCTCTGTTGGCCACCAGAATATTCTGGAAATAGTGGAATGGGACCAAATTTAATATGGAGGGAAAAGTCAGCAAGACTAAGATTTGAGTATAAAGATAGGCCAGATCTGGCTGAGAGTCACAAAGAAAAAATCCCCAGTCCACTTTGAAGAATTTGGGCATTAACTCCGAATGTGCCTATAAAATTAGAGTGAGTAAGATTTTTCCAGTTTGAAACATTTTAATCCCAAAGTACTGCGTTTTGAAGGCTAAACAGTTTGATAGAAACAACTGTTCTGTCCTTTCCAAACATTTTCCGAGGCTCACTCAATAATTCCATAAATCTTGCGAGCACAAAATAGCACCACAAACTCCTCCCATTTCTGGAATGGTGTAGAACCCCAGTGCTTGAATTTTGCCAGTGTTTAGGAATGCAGAAGGGCACAAAAGGGGCAACTCTTCAAAGCAGCTGAAACTTTTCCCAGGATCATGAGGAACCTGCAGTTCTAGGAAAAGATGCATTTGTTTTAAAGGGCTGTAACTAAGTTCTGTGTTTGTGCTTCTATAACTCTGAAGCCTCTTTTTGAGTGAAATCAAATTCCTACACAACCCTAGTAAAACTTAAGAGTAATTTAGTACTTTGATATATACTAAAGGGAAATGCAGTTATCACTAAAACATATTAATGTCTTGAGTGAGCAATGCCTTGAGAAAAATAAAGAGTACAGAGATCATTAAAAGATTTCTTAAGAGTTAAGAATGTTGATAGTTAACAGATGATAAATAATGGAAAAAGAAAATGCTAAGGATGTTTGACTTTTACTTAATTTGATTGCATAACTTGTTTATAACTCTATCACAAGGTAACTTCAATCCTAGCATTTCAACCAGCATGGGGAAGGACAAATTTGTAATCTGTATATCTAAAAAAATCCCAGATAAGACAGCCTGAGGCAACCAGAATCTCCCAGGTGTGTGTTGGATCAACTCCCATTTTGCTTTCCTGTTAATCTTGCAGCTCGGTTTGGGGCTGTGGATCATGTTGCCTTAGGTCAGGGCTGTCAAACTGCTGGCCCGTGGGCTGGATGCTTTACGTGCTGGCCACAGCCCCACCCAGGTTAGCAAAGGGGGAAAACGTTCTGATACAACATGTGATGCCACTGTGACAACACGAGTTTGACACCCCTGCCTTAGCTGGACCATAATTCTCTCTTTCCAAGCAGACGCAGTAATGACAATGCTAATATACCTGGATGGTTGTTACTTGCAAAGGGTAGAACTATACATTAGTTTTAAGAACCACTTTGAGGACAAAAGGTCATTTGAGGGTGGAATTCCCAAGAAAGGACTGAGCCCTTATTCCTAAAAAAAACGATTTCCCCATAACTCTGTCCCCATTTTCTTGGTTTGTATTTTTTTAAGACAAGACAGATTTGATCTACGTTAAAGGACCCGCCATCCTTGACAAACTCTGTTTAGTATATTAGCCCTGTCACTATGGCATAAAAAATCTAGTTGTTTCAAATATAGTTCTGGGTAGCAGAGGGTGCATTTCTAGCAGCATTCATCCTTTCCTCAAATCAAAAAGACTCCAAAGGGTCTCTTTCCCCCCTCAATAATTGAAGATCCAAAAGGAGATGCAATTGAGTTGCCCCCCATGAATACAAACAGGGCAGAGAAAAAGGTTTATTCAACAAATTTTATTAACTGTTTTTCAAATCTTAAAAGAATTTGTCCATTATTGTTTGATCATTTCCTTAGAGCAAGATGAATAGAATTGACACCATCATGAATCACCCAAAACAAAAAAAATCTATGCAGATATTGCATCAAATTGTTGAGGAATCAAACCTGCACCCACTTCCTTTCCTTGTTTCTGAGCTTCCGTGGCATCCACATAGTGGAATACTTTTTATGAGAGGCATGTACCACTTTCACAAGCTGCAGCCTGTATGAAGTTTATATAAATGTAACATTCATTAGCATGTACCAGAATGGTCCAGAAACAGGGTAGGTGGACGAACACTTGCCTGAAATTTCCGCTTGAGCTTTTTAAGTAAACCAATCTCACAAGAATGAAATCTCTTGGACACTTTTCAAACATAAGCCAGCACATTCTTCATTTAAAGTATTTTAAGATGTGAAATGTGAATTATTAGTATACCATAAATAGAATAATGCTAACTTCATTAAAAACATCTTGAGTGATTTTGATTCATTACAAGGCACATGATACAACCAAAAACAATAGCATCAAACAGAATTATGGTAGGGTCATGTTAAAACATGTTGACTATTGCTTCCCAATAGGAATTGTTTATCATAGCCAACTTAATTTTTTCTTTCAGAGAAGCAGTCATTGATCATAAACTCAATTTCAGGGCAGAGTTTTCCTTAAGTGTCTAATAAACAGGTTTGTTTGTACAAGCTGATTAGATACCGGTACTTAGTACCCTAGAAGCATGTAAGGGAGGTTTAAAAATCTGAAATATATTTTGCATACATTTTATACTTCCTCTATAGCCAAACCTCAATGATTAAGACAGGAAAGGAAGACTGACAAAATCAAATTGCATGAGCATAGAATTTACGCAAAAGCATATTCTCTGTGGTATTCCCAACTAGCACTGCAGTTCTTGTCCTGAATTTTTCACGCTAGAAGAGTCTAATCTTAACATGAGGACTAGTATTGTTTAATCCTATGAAAGTATTTCCATAGCTGTGCAATACTTTTTGGGCAATAACTCAACTTGAAGGACATGATGTCATTCCTGACTGTGAGGCCCTCAGCCATACTTTCTGAAGACAAATGTAATTACTCTATTTCAATGAAAGTCTGTTCTTCAGAAATGAAATTCTATCTGAAAGAAAAATCCCACCATGGTTCACTTTCCCGTATAACTTCAATGTAATTTTAAATATTAGGACTTTTAATATTTTGGCCAATCACGCTTTCCAAGACAATCCTTGATAAATATATAATACCACTCAGCATTTCATTTTTTTCACATGATTTTCAATTGCATCTGCAACAATGGTCTCATCTTCATCAATATTGACCTTGGCCTTCTTGCCGACCAATTCGAAAATATCTTCTGGTGGATATCCTTTGGGTTCCCCCACCTTTATGGTGAGCATGTCCAACGTGAGCATGGTGCCTTCGGGGATCCTGACCTTGGCAACTACGGATTTCCCCAACTGCAAAAAGCATAATTTAAGTAGGCAAAGTTATTCTACAGAGAACTTACAACTGAAGTGCCATAAGCTATTCAAGCAACATAGATTTCAGAGAAGGCTGACCTGAAGCAGGAGGTAGAGGAAATGACCGTGTGCGGTAACATACACCACAGCAATATTGCCACCCACGGTAGAGTACATTCATGGAACGTTTACTAGGTTAGATCAGAATGAAAAGCCCTGACAAAATTAAGACATCTGTTGCATAGTCCAAGATCCGGTTCTATCCATTTCTGTCTAGAAGCTCATTCACAATTGTCACCCGACTTCTTTAAAACCATGTTGTCTTCTCCCCACAAATGGTATTCAGCTCTGAACTTAATATAGCACTTGAACAGCAAGAATACTTACTTTCAAGGGGAACAGAGAAGGTGACCCAACCTTTTGCATACTTTTCACAACGACATCATACTGTTGATGCTTAAAGAAAATTGAGGCCATGGTAGTACCGTAAGATCTTTCTCACTTATAGAATGGTTGCCACAGTGGTATAGATAGTCATATAGCAACTGATCAGAAGTCAGCTGATAAAGACTGCATCGCTCTGTAGTGCGAAAGCTGAACCATTCTTTGAAGTTGTAACAATACAGGAAGTTGATGTATTTAATCAAACACTATTCCTTGTACATGGACTCTGTAATTAATTCTGCAGCATGAGAGTTTTCATAATAACAAATATGAAAAACTGAAGTAGCCAAAGGAGTCATGATTCCCAAATAGCAAGGATAATTTTGGCCATTGCTCTCCTGTATAGGACCTCCTACTCCACACCAATGATCTTGAAAACTAAAGGTAGACTGCAACTTATAACCCCAACTGAGCCCCAAATTTCTGTTGCTAGATGACACATTTGTGAAGTGTGTTTTGCTCCATTTTGTGACCTTTCTTGCCACAGTTGTTAAGTGAATCACTGCAATTGTTAAGTTGATAATACAACTGTTCAGTGAATATAGCTTTCCCAATGACTCTGCTTGTCCGAAGATTACAAAAAGTAATGACATGATCCTGGGACACCGCAACCGTTGTAAATACGACTCAGTTGCCAAGCATCCACATTTTGATCATGTGATCCCTGGGATGCTGCAACAGTCGTAAGTGTGAAACGATCATAAGCCACTTTTTTCAGTGCTGCTGTAACTTTGAACAATTACCAAATGAATTGTTATAAGTCAAGGACTCCCTGTATTAGGGAATTCAAGAGCTAGGGGCAAAAGTAGAAAAGCAGAGGAACATTCCTGAAGAAGGACAGGACAATCATTTCAACACCGAGGAATCTGCAGATGTCTATATGCAAACATAAGGAACCAAAACCAATTGAACAGGTACTTCACCTCTTACCTTAACCCCCACCTCCCACCCCATGATTACCCAGCACAATGGTAATCATGAAATAGTTAAATCATTTTCAGGATTTACCGGACGAAGACAGCACTTTCCAACCTGAAGCCGGAAGTGTTGGCTGGGTAGTGTAAGTAACAAAAGTGGTGCTGCGACATAAGCTTTGTCCCTTTGTGTGTGCACTGTGACATCACGCTCACATACAGAAGGAGTAAGGCTTGCATCACTATTGTAGGATGCCTCTTTTGTCATTTTAACAAAGGCTCCAGTCCTGTGAGCATCTCTCTCCCTAAGCCTGCAGGGCTATATACTGATGTTCAGGTAACTGCATTTTTAAAAAATATGATGGAAATGGGAAAATGAATATACTGGGATGAACTGCATTTGGCAGTTGAAATCCCACCAGGCTCAAGGTTGACCTCAGCCTTCCATCCTTCCGAGGTGGGCAAAATGAGGACCCAAATTGTTGGGAGGGAATATGCTGGCTCTGCAAATCACTTAGAGAGGGCTCTAAAGCACTATAAAGCGGTATATAAGTCGAACTGCTATTGCTATTAACTGTAATTAATTTTACGTTATGTTGAACAAATTTAGCATTTTTCCTATTTTCAGTTTTACATTTATTTTGGCTTTGCCTGCTTTTGGTGATGGAACCTTGCCATATTAATCAAAAGCCAAGGATTGATCCAACAAAGCTATGCAATCCTAAACTATAGAGAGATAAAATTATGGAGCCCTACCTTCCAAGTTGTCACTGCAGAATAATTGCTGCAGGGTTCCTACATTCCAATTGTACAATCTGTTGCCCAGCAACCCATAATGGAAAACTTTTATAACTTGTTCCCACATCAGCATTTATTAATTCTGGAGTTTGTTGTTCACTGTCCAAAATGATCATATCTTGGTTTTCACGCTTCCAAATTAACACTTATGACAATTTGGGATTCCATGGTAGCACAACTGCAGTAACGAATATATACAGCCAATGTATATATCCACCTTCCTTCCAATAAACTTAAAGTTCCCAAACCACTTCTTATCCAGGCACAAACCAGATCCACCTCTGGTTTAGTTTCAGCAAGAGAACAGTGATTGTGATCACAAAGCAATGCCTAATGCCCATGAATGTACATATAGTTTTAGATGATTAATCTTATTAATCTAAGGTTTTTGGTTCTGAAATTTGCAGATGTTGTTCAATTAATAGCTCCTACCGGTAACTTGTCCTACAATCTGGGATTTGCAATAAGGAATAATAGCAGGCAGAAATACCTATGGGAATCAAGACTTTCACCAGAATGAAAGTAGCATCACAATGTGTCAGAGTATATTCATGAACCAGAATATAGCTTGGTAACAAGGTCAGCCAATGAATAGGCATAGTAACTAAGTCAGCCAATGAGGATAGTTTGGAAACTGAAACCAGAAGTAGCCTAAGCATGGCTCTGTTAAGCTCTGCAACTATGTTGAGCTCTGAATCTGTCTATTGAGATGAAACTAACTTGCTTGCTTGCTGAAGATTGGAGCTCCGCTCTGGAATTGCAACATGTTTCTGTTTGAGTTTGCTCCACGTTGGAGAAATCTACAATTGGTTTGTAAAAACTACTTATGTTTATAAAAATGTTAAATGAAGCATCAGCCATCTGTGTTTATTTTTCTGGCGCTGAATTATTGCTACAAAATTCTCAATACACTGCAAGACCCAAACTCTCTTGAACTTGCATGTGATGGCAGGAGACAGGTAATGACTAGGGGACAGCTTGCATTGCTGCTTCTATCATGGGATGCTCATTTGCCCACCCGTTCTGCTCTCAGCTTTAGTTTAGCGATAATTGGAAAATACAGCATCCACTTCCCTGGTACTTGACCAAATCAGGCAGGTCTACTAGTAACAGGAGTAAGACAATGGCTTACCCCTCAGTCATTCTCAAACACATAGAATATAATTCCTGGGAAGAAGGTCTTTCTGCCTTCAAGAGATTACCTTTTCATTACAAGCTTCTTCACAAGGCAAGAGTTGTTTGATCGGTGATCCCATGGCTTTCTCTACTATCCGAATGCTTCTCACCAATTCTGCTAACTCTTTGGGCTCCAGAGATGCTTGATGGTCGTTGCCTTTCCAGGTCTTGTCCAAAGTGATGTGGCGCTCCAATATTTTGGCCCCCATCGCCACTGCAGCAATAGAAATGGCTATCCCGGTCTCATGACCTGAATAACCAATAGGAATATCTGGGAAGGCTGAGCGGTATTCCTAAAATGACAATAAAATTGACAGAAATTGCCAGTGCAAAGTGATTTGGCTCACTCATGTTTAATATGAAAGTTTTTGTGTCACAGTCCAACACGGGCCTACTCATGAGAAAAGTAAAAGTACCCGTGCAGGCTTACTCGAGGCCTACTTAGCCCCGAGCTGGCAATCAAAATGGTCTTGCAGGAATTATCACAGCTATACTGTTCTACATTGCTATATTCTTCTACCACGCTCCACCTCACTGACCGTTATGACACGAAGATTGACGTCTTCAGGGTGAAGGGGGTAGGCACTGGTGCACTGAAGGAAACAGAAATTCGGGTTGATGGGCTTCACCAGCTTGTAAACCTGCTGCATTATGCTCATTGACTGCATCCCACTGGAAATCACCATTGGGCGACCTGGAATGAAAAGCCAGGGCAGCATTTTTAATTTTACAAAAGATTGGCTCCCACAAGCAAGTTATATGAACTGATAACTGTCAATTAATAATCTTATTAAATCTATCCCCCTTTCCATCTGGACAGATCTGAGTCTCAACTTGTTCGCTGCATCATTTCTTTTCCTTTTCCCAATAGTAATGTGGCCCCATTTTGTCTATTCCACAATACAGGTTTGAATTCTCCAATTATTTTACATTCCAAATTGGCACACTTGAATGAATATTCCTATTCCGCAAGCAAGGAAGAGTGATACATATCCATCTTGAAGTCCTTCTAATGCAGGGCTGTCCAATCTTGGCAACTTTTAAGACCGGCTAAGGAATTCCAGGAGTTGAAGTCCACAAAACTTAAAAGTTACCAAGGTTGAACACCCCTGTTCTAATACTAGATTTTAATAGAGTCCATGAATCCATCTTCCATGTTTTATCATTTTTACCCAGGATTAGTATTTCTGTTGGTGTTATGGCAGAATCATTTACAATTTATTTTAAACACTATTCTAAATGTGACCAATTTGTCAACGTATTTTGATTATACTCAAGACTTTCCTAAACGTTTGTCAACTAGTTCTGTGTTCAAAAAGACGGGATAGACATGTTTGAGGGAGTCCATGAAGAGAAATCTTTTCTTTGAAGAATACTATTGTTTTATTACCCATCAATCTTTACTGTAAAAAAAAAAAGACCTTTAAAATGATGTACTGTATTGTGAAAAACTAACGTTCAGGAAAAGGGAGGGATACCTCTCTTTTTCTGTGTGGGGGGGAGAGGGAGGGAGGGGAAAAGGGAAAGAGAGAGAGAGGGAGGGAGGGAGAGAGCACTGTGCATTTTATGGATTCTTTGGATACAAGAGCATATGAATCCACATTCATTTATACAAATAAAAACAGGCGGTTGCACATCCATTATTTTCTCCGCTCTCCCTAAATTACCTTTTCGGGCTGTCTTCTCCAAGTATGGGAAATTATTTGTATCCCCGGATCCGACTTTAAAAAATGGAACAGCCAGCTCGTGCAGAAATTCTACAGCCATCTATTGAGAAAGACACAAAAAAAGCAAAATTGAAACAAAATCTCCCACTGGATGAATGGGCTCACTAAAAAATTAAGAGGAGGGTTAAAAGGGCAATTTATAGTCCTACCAAAATCATGGAAGAAAATTTGCTAAATATGTTACTGATTTCTTCCACACATCAATCCATAAAAACAGTTGGTTTCTTTGATCCACAGTAGGGTTCTTGGTGTTGTTCAGTGTTAAACTTGGGTTCCATTTTCTGAAGTCAAAACACAATAGGCTCTGAAACTCCAACCCCACTTGTTAAAATTCCCCTGTAATATATTCTGCTATTCTCTCCCCTGTGGGAAGAAAGACTAAAGGCGCTGGGAACAAGCAGATGAAACGTGTAAAGGACCTGAAGTGACCAAGTCAAAGAAGAGGCAAGAAATCGAATCTTAAGTATGTCAATAATTTCTGGGGTTGCTATTACAGGAAGAATCTCTGCCACACCCCACCCCTTTGTGTGGGCAGGCTCAGAAGCCAAAGCTGCTTTTAAACCTCACATTCCAAATTCCCAACTCTTACTTCATCCATGCCGGATGCTGTGAAGAAAATGCCAATCTCCTTGGCGTAGCGTTGCAGTTCTCGGTACTGATCGTGACTGAACTCCAGGTGGCGCTTGTGCTCCCCATAGGTTCTCCCCCAAGAGTGTTTGGAGGTGTATGGCCTCTCCAAAGCTCTCCGGTTGAATTTGTGCTCCAATTCGCTTTTCTGGAACTTAGCACAGTCCGCTCCGCATTCCTGCAAAGAGACAACCCCACCAAGACTTTCATTAGGCCGCTTTAACACACCCACCTCACAAAACAAAGGTTACGGCAGGTCCCGCTCAGTGGGATATGCGGTAAGCTGCATGCTCATTTTATTTCTTTAAAACATTTATATAGCCTCCCATCTTATAATCAAACTTCAGAATAGAATAGAATTCTTTATTGGCCAAGTGTGATTGGATACACAAGGAATTTGCCTTTGATGCATACGCTCTCAGTGTATGTAAAAGATATGTGATAGATCATGATCATAGTCATCATAAATACATTCATCATTCAGGCGGCTCCCAATCAAAAATATTTAAAACAGCATAAAACCCATACTAAACCAAAAAACACCTGGTGCCAAGTCAAGCTTCCAATGTGCAGTTACCTCATCTTAGCCCAGAACTTAGAGGAAAAGGTGAAAAAGTAACTTCTTCAAAGCTTTACAAAAGGCCAGGCAGGTAGAGGCCTGCCAAACTTCAGAGGGCAGAGTGTCCCATAGGGCAGTGGCAGTTACAGAAAAGGCATACTTCCTAGCTCCCATCAGTCGACAATATTTAGGGGAAAGGGGCTAGGAGCATGCGGTTCTGACCGAGACTTCCTGAGGTCGTAATTAAGCACACGCTTAGTCCAAACAACTCTTTGCTTTATTTCAATGCTGGGAATTATGTTCATTCCCAGCCCATAATGAGTCCCAAACAGTCTCTCAAAATAAGCACCCACCTTTATCTCCTTTGAATTGCTGCCAACAACTAAAGTGCCAAATTAACTGAAAAAAAACCCCAACCCAAGTACAAAGTCCACACAAAGCTTCAAGGTTTAATCCAAACAGAGCAAATGACTTTGCTTCCTGCAAAGATTTCTCTACCTTTGCATGTCCTTTATACCATAGGGGAGGGGCAATCACCTCCAAGCCTTACTCCCGAGTCGCCCCTTTTCTCTTAGCTGCTCTTGCCTTCTGGCAGCTCTGCGTGCACACGCGCACTGGGAACAGGCTCCCCTTGTTCCTCTGCCTCGCTACTGCCAGATTCTGGAGGCTCCAGAGTCAGCACATAACTCCCAGATGGTCCTGGCCAATCTCTGTATTGGACTCTGGACCCTGGTCCTCCCCAGACTCCCGGACTGGTCCTTGTTCTTTCCCACAGTCTGATTCTGCTGCTGCTCAGCACAGGCTGCCAGCGAACCACAAGAAATGCCCACACTATATGACCTGTCAGACGGAATGGGTAGATGTCCTTAGGGAAAAGTGGCCTCCCAGCTAGTCTGGGCCTGTGATATATAGTTCTTTAAAGGATGACCAGCACCTTGGATTGCACCTCGAAAGAGACCAGAAGCCACTGCCGCTTGCACAATGGTGGTATTAGATGGGCACACTTAGACTTAGAATAACTTTATTGCCACTTTGAATGTACACTAATCAGCATACATTAAAATGACATTTCGTTGCATATAGCTCTCAAAGACTCACCCCCTCCAATATACACTATATACACCAGGCAAACTAGCTAACTAACTAACAACTTAGGGACATCCATCACTGCACACAATGCTGTGTTCTTACCTGCACTAAGCCTCCCTCATCCTCATGAAGGACCCTGCACTCCGCTAAATAACATTTGTTTAACGGCCACATCAAGGAGAACAGAGCGTCGTTAAGCAAAACCATCTCGCTTATCAGTCACCACCACTTGCAACTATAATGGGCTGGTTTCATGATGATCGTACACCGAGGACTGCCTGTAATTTAAAAGCACCACACAAGGTATTACACACAATAATATTGCTAAACCATTAACAGCAATATTTTTGTATGTATGGTATATGTAAGGCCAAAACGGCAGCACCGTTTGTATATTTACAGTTGCAAACAATAAAAAATATATATTTTTAAAAAGATATTATATACAAGGTAAAGAGAGAGATGATTTCCTTGCTCTCAGGCAGGTGGCAGCAGAAGTCATAAAACTTCATAGAGACATGACACAAAGTGACATCCATTTCTCTCTGCTCTGTGAGCTTAATGGAAGATGACGTGCACCCAAACCATTTTGAAAAATCCCGCAGTCACAGGAATAAAGCAAGTAGGGCTCTTTTTTCTATATTGTTTAGGCATCTTGCAGATAAGCTGCCCAACTGATAAATCCCCTCAATACTGACGAAGGGAGTAAATCCCATTTCTAAACACATCCCGAGGTTCTCCATATGGTAGGCAACATATATGCTGCACCCTGCCTTGTTCACATAGGTTTAATGGGAAACCACACAACTGCCTCCTATTTGTAATTCTTCCATCCTTCCCAAACTTTTCTGTCCTGGTGGGTGGGAAAAGTGGAACAGCAGCGCAACTGTCACACAGCCAGGTTCCAGAGATGCAGATGTTCACCTGATTCTTTTTTGACCACATATCAGCAAATGCAAACAGGCATATTTAGTGGTGGTTATCCAGTGGTGGTTAAGGAATTGAGCAGACATTTGAGAATCCCAGCTCCTAGTCCACCCTTACTTTGGGTCAGTTTACTTTTCTTCAATTTGGCTCTTTCACTGGGCCCTTTCCTTTCCCTTTCCTTCTTTCCTTTCTTTTTCTATTCCTTCTTCCTTTCCTTTCTCTTTCTTTTTTCCTTTTCTTCTTCCGTTCCTTTTTCTTTCTTCTCTCCTTCCTTTCCTTTCTTTCTTTTTTCCTTTCCTCTCTCTTTTTTCCTTTCCTTCTTCCATTCCTTTTTCCTTCTTCTCTCCTTTCCTTCCTTCCTTCCTTTCTTTTTTCCTTTCCTTCTTCCATTCCTTTCTCTTTTCCTTTCCTTTCTCTCTTTTTTTCCGTTCCTTCTTTCATTCCTTTCTCTTTCTTCTTTCCTTTCCCTTTTTCCTTTTCTTTCTCCCTCCCTTCCTTCCGGGCCGATTAAAATGCACAGCTTCACAAAGGAAAAACGGAATACAATCCTCATAAACCATTCGACGCAACCTCCAGCCCTCCAAACCAAATCAGCTCCACTCAGCTACAAGAAAGCCAAGCGAAGGCATATGAACCGCTGCCACCCCCAGGAATCAAAAGGAAGGCTGCCCCTCTTTCTTTTGCCCCCCAGCCCAGCTAAGCCTGGACACTCATCGCCTCCCTCCTGTCCCGAGAAGCCCGCCATCCTCGTCCTTCGCCTTCAGGCCGAGCGCCCCCCGAAACCCGCGCTCGCGCCCCCACCTTAGCCACCCGGATCATCTGCTTGGCGATCTCGAGATCCCCCTGGTGATTCTGCCCAATCTCGGCGATGATAAAGCACGGGTGGTCTCCGCCGACCAGCCGGCCCGGGCACAGCTCAAGTTGCAAAGGCATCGTGGCGCTCGACGGGCTGGAGAGCGAGGCGCTGACCCACGGCCGCAAAGCGAGCTCCGCGATCAGACCAAAAGCACCGTTTCGCCCCGACAACCTATCCCGGCGCATGCGTCCCCGATGGCCCACGCCCAGCTGTCCGCCGGAACGCGTGACTTCCCCCTACCGATGACGGAGGGAGGCCGGCGCTGCGCCGCACGATCCTATCCGACTCGAAGCCAATCAACGCGACAAGCGTGGCGCGGTTCCCCACCGGGCGCCCTCGGGGTTTGCGTGTAATCTGGGAATGGCGAGATTTCATGGGCTGAGGTGTTTGCGAAGAAGGAGGAGGAGGAGAAGAAGGAAGAAGAAGAAGAGGAGGAGGAGGAGAAGAAAAAGGAAGAAGAGGAGGAGGAAAAGGAGGAGAAGAAGAAGGAAGAAGAAGAGGAGGAGAAGAAGGAAGAAGAGGAGGAGGAAAAGGAGAAGAAGAAGGAAGAAGAGAAGGAGAAGAAGAAGGAAGAAGAGGAGGAGGAGAAGGAAGAAGAGAAGGAGAAGAAAAAGGAAGAAGAGGAGGAGAAGAAGGAAGAGGAGGAGGAAAAGGAGAAGAAGGAAGAAGAGAAGGAGAAGAAGAAGAGAAGAAGAAGGAAGAAGAGGAGGAGGAGGAGAAGAAAAAGGAAGAAGAGAAGGAGAAGAAAGAAGAGGAGGAGGAGGAGAAGAAGGAGGAGGAGGAGATGATTTATTGTTGTTGTTGTTGTTGTTACACTCCATTCTGGGAGTTGAAGTCCGCCAGGCTTAAAGTTGCCAAGGTTGGAGACCCCTGATTTAAGAGAACTTTTAAGATTCCTGTAGTGTTGATTCTGGCTGAGTAATTTTTCTATGAGAATTAATGGCAACCCTTCACATCCCAATCTGCACCACAAGAGGACCACCTAAGACCGCTTAGGAAAGCCCAAAGGCAAAAAAAACCCGCTGCCCATTATACCGTTGCAGATTCATTCATAAATTTAGAGCTACTTTTGTTTTTTAGACGGCCAGATGGAGGCCGCAGATGATGTATTCTGGAAGGAAACAGGAAGAGGTTAAGGCAGGGGCCTTCAAACTTGACAGCTTTAAGACTTGTGGACTTCAACTCCCAGAATTCCTCCTCCAGTCATGTTAGCTCAGGAATTCTGGGAGTTGAAGTCCACAAGTCTTAAACTTGCCAAGTTTGAAGACCCTTGGGTTAAGGTTAACACCCATTTCTTTTGGCGACAGACTGAGGAAAACCCCCTTGCGTAAAATAAAGCTGAAGGCTGCAAAAGGTTGCGTTTCTCTCGTTTTGGAAAGAATTTGTGCGATCCCCAGACTTTAGGATAGACAGAAGGAGAGGGGGAAAGAATTTGGGAGATTTCTGATTATTTTCTATTTTGTATTTGAAAATATTGGATAGAGTGGTCCAATCTTCCCCAACTGATTGCATACTGGTGATGGATTATGGGATGTGTGGTCCTGTAGGTCTGGAGAGTACCCCCTTTTGTAATGGTGTAATGCATTTAAACCTCACATTTCTTTTAAAAATAATTGAATTTGCTTTATTTTGAATGTTAGGATATTTGCTGCAACAAGCAGCGTTTCCGCATCTCAAACTCATCAAATGTGTTTCCTGGTAATTCTAGAACTGATGTCCCAACATACCTGGTAGGTCTTGAAGAAGACTTGATACTTGGAAATGTAACTTTTCCTTCTCCCTCCTCTCTAAAATGAACGTGGAAGAGCGGGGTATAACCCTTTGGTCTTTAAAGGTGAAAGTACTCATTGCAATACTTAAAACTTCTGTGTCTTTTCTCAGGATTCTGCCATTGCCCTCTTAAGTTCTCAAATATCCCAAAACACATTTTCAGTGAGGGGCTCAAACGCTCTGTTTATCCATATGAAGCAATATAGAAGTGGAACTTGTAAAAAAAAATGTTGCAGTACAGGAATCCTCCCCATTTGATCCCCAAAGGGGAGTCTGTTCTGAGTAACAGCTGACTCTAGACCATTTTTTTCTAGAATAAGAAGTTGTTCAAAGGCTAAGCCAATTGAGGATCCTATCCTATGTTCCGCTGTACTTTTTCATTTTAAATTCTGCATTCCATAACTCTCCATGATCATTGGACATCCTGGTCCTTTGGCTGCCATCAAGCAGGAATAACGCCCCTCTTGAGTGTCTTGTAATAGTTTTGTATTTCTGCAACCCTCAAGGTTTCTCCAAGCACACATACCCCTCCCTTCTGTGTATCGGTGTCCTCACTTTACCTCATTTTTGCCACTGGGTAAGCGGTGACTTTGCTATTTAAAGAAGTAATTATGAAACAGTATTAAAGAGAGAGAGAGAGAGAGAGATGTAAAGATTTATCGCGGAATTTCAGAAAGCTTATCAAATTGTCTTCTCACTTGCAAGTTATCCTTTTTGTGTTATGTGCAGCTTATTCAGTGTCTAAGGGAAGCATTTAGTAATGTAACTACTTTTGGCAGAAACTTGGTATGGCTGAAGTCAATATTTTTGAATAGGTTTCAGAGTATAGAAAACAGCTATCGCCTCTTCTGAATGAGTATTGGGTGTCAGGGAACCGCCTGGGTTTGATGATGTTAGGTTAGATCTAACTCTTAAAATTTAACTCTCAAGTGGGCTTTAGGTCTGCTCAACAAACTTTATTTGAAAGCAAGAATCCGCTTGTTTAAGGAGGCTCTACTGTAAGCTGCTGCTTATTTATGCCTCCTAAATTAATTGCTTCATGGATTATTTAAATGCACTTAGGTGTGTCTTTGTTAGTCAACAAATGTATTATTTCTTGCATTAAGTTAGGGTTCAATGCCAGCCCCTTTTATCCCTATTCGGCACAGCAGAGCAAGAAGGCAGGACTTCAACCTTTCTATGATTCTCTGTACTAATAGTAATCTTTTTCTGCATAGCTTACCCAAGATTGCATTGCCGATTTCCAGTCGAAACCCTGTGAATTACTACAGTGCAAATCTCTGCTTGATTTTCTAAGTTACACACAGATAATAAGTTTATTGAATCCTAATACAACATTTATGTGATTATTTAACTTTATGAAAAATCCTGAAAATAGAATGGCCTCTAGCTGCAAAATATTTGTCTTCCTCAACGGTAGAAGAATTTGAAGGCAGCAGCATATTCTATTTGTAGAGCCAAAGTCTAAAGATCAACTGTGCCTCTACATTTGTCAGGCCACTGGCTTTTACTGAAGCTGGGAGAGTTTGGTGACTTTAGAGAGTAAAATGAAAAGCTAGGCTGGTCCTTTCATTTAGTTTGTAATAGAAGCAATTTCTGGAAGTATCCCCATTCAAAAAGTACAGAAGAAAAAGAGATGTCAAACTCAGTTGAACAAAATGAGATGTCTAAAGAAAGATAAATAATAGAAAATTAGTCAACAAAAAAGTTTGACATTTTTGTCTGCTCAGTATCAAATGGTAGAATCACCTTTTGGGGGAAGGTAAAAATGGAATGTTATTTGATTGATATGTAAACATTTTGAAACAGCTACTGGTAGTTGTGTTAACCCAGGGATGCCAAACTCCTGGATCCAGCCCATAGGTTACTTAGATCTGGCCCGTGGGACCTCCCTGAAAACAGTGAAGGACTGGCCCACGGTGCCTCTGCCAGCGAAAATGGAGCTCGGGAGGGCCCCCTTGCGAGTTCCATTTTCACAGGCAAGGGTTCCAGAATGCTGTCCCAGCTGAAAACAGTTCGGTAGCCCATTTTCACTGGCAGAGCATTCAGGCCACCACAGGTACCCCCCCCCCCCCAAGATGAGTGAGGTCATGTTGGCCATACCTACCCCAGCCCTCTGAGGTCAAACACAACCCTGATGCGGCTCTCAATGAAATCGACTTTGACACCCCTGTGTTAGCCTAATGCATAAAAAAAGATATCCCGTGTTTCTTATGTGTGATATATCTATCTAGTGTGTCACCCATCCAATTGCCCTCATCCTACCCTGAATAATTAAGGGATTACAGGGTCATAAAAGAGGAGCCAAATTAATTGCCCCAACTGCATATTACAACTGGATCTAATTTTTTATTTATTTTTCCTCTTAAAATAAAGCAGCAGGGGAGGGAACAATAACACAGATATAGGATAGAAAGGAACTTGCTTATTCCATAATTTCTATATTCTTAATAAGATTTTCAAAAGTGGGGGACATCCAATGCTTTTGTTTCATCATTAATAGATCTTAAGAAGGTATTAGTGTTAGCTAAAATTGGAGATAAATCAAAATGCATGCTTGCTGTTAATCCCACATTTATTAGATATAACCAAATCTATATTCATAACGTCTATCTGTTTTTCCTCCCTTTTTAATATGTACAGACAAATCTTTATTAGATTAACCAATAAAAATATTAGCTTCAAGCTTTCCAGTTTCAAGAGCTCTGACTAGACCAGATGGTGAGAAAAATAAGGGGCAGGTGGGGGAGAGAAATTTTTTAAAAAAGAACGATGTTTACCAGGTTACATTATCAAACTATATGGATTGGGAAACTTCATTCATGCAAATTGACTCCTGGTATAGAGACACCAGGAAGTTTTCTTGGAAAATGAAACAAGCAGATCTTTGTTAAAATTCAGTTTCTGGAAATAAAATTTCCTCATTTAAAAATGTGGAATAGAATTTCTACATTACAGTATGGATATAATTCGAAACGACGAAGTATTCTCGAGCTATTTTTTATGGCTAACTTTGTTTTTGTTTTTGGCAGAATACTTCTGAGATTAAACAACTGTCAAGAACCACATTGCTGCAGAAGAATCATCCTTCACATTCAAACGGAAATTGCTGGATTCTAATGAAAAATACCAGTCAAAATTAGCCAGATATTAACATAGAAGCAACTATAGATCCTCCAGATGGTTTATCCACCAGAGTAGCTCTTCTAATAAAAAGTTGACAAATATATGCTGGCCATTTCCTGACATCAATTGAATTAGAAAAGCTTCAGGAATGTTTTATCGTCATCTGTGTGGCTAATTTTTAAGATAAGAACGATGTATTTTCCCGTTATAATTCTTTGTTTTATTCTGAGGTAATGTAAAGAACGTATGATACGGGGGGGGGGGGGGGGGGGGGCAGCAAATGTGATTATTG